AGAAAAGTGGACGGTAAACAAAAAAGAAAAAAGAAAGTAACAAAAAAATAGTAGTATTTCATGTCAACATCAACAATGATGTGCGCAACGGGCCAACGGTGTCTTGTGAACGCATGACGTTAGATCGACCAATGAGGGAGGCGACCGTGTCACAGGCTTGCCTTGACTAAATTGGCTAAAACTAAGGATGTCAACGAGGTCCTTTGGGGTTAGGAAGGCCTACTTGTTTCCATTTCCGCAAATGATGGAGACAAAGATATCCACGAAAATTTTTAACAGAGGCCAAATTTTATCTCCATTCCTCGCGGGATCCTCGTTCCCCACTAAAATGTCTAAATATACACTTCTACTTTGATGTTGAGCAACAACAGTAACAGTGGCGCAGTAGTGGCGCATTAGTGGTGCAATAGTGGCGCATTAGTGGCGCAGCAATGACATAGTAGTGACGCAGCAGTGGCGCAACAATGGCACAGTAGTGGCACAGCAGTGGCATAGCAGTGACACAACAGCAGCCATGGTGCAGCAGTGGCGTAGCAATAGTCTTAGACGGATTTGATTTGGCAACAGCAATCCAGACTCCAGTTCAAGGCAAAAGGGTGAGATGTGAAATATAGACGGGTAGAAGGGCGGCAATGAAGGGAGCAAGGGATTTAGGGTTTGAGATTTGTAGGGGAGGGATAAAAGGGAAGGTGGAAGATGACTTAAGTGAGTGCGAGAGAGTCTAAGAGTGAGAGGCAAAGGCAATCAATGGAGAAATGGAGAAATGAATAAGGCTGCTTAGAGCTAAAAGGATTGGGTTGGGCTAGATTAGGTTGGGTTGGGTTGGGTTGGGTTAAATTTTATTGAATTGAGTTTGAATTTTAAAATTATATTAAATTTAAAATGAAATTAATTTATATTTTCTTTTTAATTTTTTTGCGAGGATGGAGAACCTAGTGGGTCTTCGTGGGGATCGAAAAATTCCTCGTGAAATTTCACGAGGGAAAATGTCCCCTGTCCCCACTTCGTTCCTGTGACGGGGATCCCTGCAAGGCCTTGCGGGAATTGAGGCAAATTGTCATCCCTAACTAAAACCATTAGCTTGAGAAGAAAGTCGCTCGCTCTTGTTTATAAGTAAACATTTGAGAAGAAAATTTTTTGTTCTTTTTTTTTTTTTATCTTAAAATTTTTCCTTCTTTGTTCCAAAGAAAATAATAATAGTAGTAGTAGTAGTAGTAGTAGTATAAGCACTATCAAAGAGTTTAGTTAAGACAACCCTCGTCAAATTAAAAATTTTGATTTAATATAGTTTTAAGCACTTGTAATACTAGGTAATTAATTCTTAATATATAAAAAAAATTATGCAAGGAATTACTAAGGAAGATGGGTCCTCCTAATTACATTCCTAATGTTAAAACAAATGATTTAACAAAGTTTCTTGGTAATTTCATACGCTTAATTATATTCTTATAACTTGTTACAGA